TTTCTCACTTCCGATCGTGTTGAAAATGGACATGTGGATGAATCTGGTGTCTATTGTTCACCAACGTTCTCACTTCAGTCTCACTTCTCTTTAAATCTCTCTTACGGAAGCTCACGAAACTGTTCTCCCTTGTTTCTCTTCTCTTCCTGCATCTTTTTATTGCCAGAAGGGATTTTTTCATTCATAGCCAATGGTTATTCCCCATTAATATTAACATTGTAGCCTTTTGTGCTCTTACAGAAACACACACAGGGTTATTTCAGCTCACCCCTCTGGATCAGTCATGCTGAAGCTCCGTTTTAGTTTCTCTCAAGCAAAACAAAGGGTCTTTCAGTGCAAAGCGCCCACTGCACCGGGCAGCAGTACTGATGCTCTGTTTGTGTGTGTTCTCATAGCTGCACAAACACATGCTTGTGACTGTACTCAGTAGGGTTCAGCTGAAATGGGCGCTTGAAGGCGGATGACAGTGCTAATAGTTAGATATGAGGCTGAAGATTTTTGGGTTGCTACTCGTAGAATTCTTGAGTTTTTAACCTTTGCATGTCAAAAAATGACTCAAAATCTGGGGTGAAAACGCCTCTTAAACGCTTATTAAGTATTCATTCACTGGAAAAATGAAATCCCCTGTTGCAGAGCTAAAATACAGGGAATCAGCAGAAAGTACAGTCGTTGTGAAATTGTCCAGAAACTGTTTATTTAAGCAGGCTTCACAGTTGTGGTAGTCAAAGATATCAGATGCAGGGATTCATCCACCCCGTAGGCTTTAGGGAGGTGCCACCCTTTGGTGCTCCTGGTCTTTGAAGTCTCGTAGTGGTGCACATCATGTAGGACAGACAGTGGTGCTCTGAGTGTAATGTATACCGGCAATTTGAGGGAAACTCCCTGCCGTCTGCGCGTATGACTGCAGTGATGTTAGTGGGCCTGAGGCAGTGCAGACGTTATATTCACCTGTGATCCTGAAACCAGACATTTGTTAATGAGGTGAAAATCAAAGGTGAGCACCTGCGTGAGTTCAGATTTCGCCTCCTAGCTTTTTTTTTTTTGAGCTGTAGTTTTTCATCTGAGCCGCTTTGATTAGCATGTTTGTCCCCGTTTTAAATAAAACTGTGATTTCCATTCTGTGCTGTGCGTGTGGGCGGCGAGCAGGCTGTGAGAGTAGGCGAAATCGGTCAATGAGACACATCTACAGATAAAGGACACTTGACAATTGAATTATTACACAATTTAAAACAAAGCGAATGTTGTGAAACCAATTTGTTATCAGATACAAGCGAAGATGCGCAGGATGTTTGGAGGTGAGCTGATGAGTCAGAAGAGGTTGGAAAATGAAGCTAACGTTAGCCACTGCCACCAGTTGGAGGATGAATCTACGTATTTTTGTTGCCGTATCTTTAAAGAGCTGTGGTTGAACAAGTATCTCAGAATTTCAGATTTAATAACGAGAAGTTTTGGCATTGTTCACGTCCACTCTTGATTGCGTGCTGCATTCAGGTCATATTAAACAAAGCAGAAACAGAAGTGTGACTCAGCATTTTAATGTTTGTGTATGCAAATGAGTGGATAAGATATTAGTGGATTTGCTGGCACTTCTTCTGGCAGCTGGGTGTGTTGATGAAAGCCCTAACAACATGATGTTTTTTCCATATCGTGCAGCCCTAAAATGTTGTGATGTGATCAGACAGAACCCCCGGAGGACAATATGACTTAATAAACCTTAAGGAATAAACCACAAATAAAAGTTAAGGATTGATAAATACATCTCTATGACATATGAGCTAATTCTCCCTTCAGGCCCTCTTCTGTCCTGGGTCCCTCGTGTCCGCTCTCTAAAAAGAAAGTGATGATTCTATCTGTTTTAAAGTGGTTGTGATTCTCATATGAGTGGGTCTATTTTGAGCGACGCTTTTAACAGCATTATCTGTTGTTTTCCTTTTGAGAAGACAGCGGCGCTGGCGACTGTTCAGCCTTTCCCTCAACTCTCCCTCTGTTCTTTGTTTTTCGCCGTCAGCTTTAGAAACTTTTTATAGACCCGACAGAAGTATTAAAAGGAAAGCTGATCATTTTTTTAGATAAGATGGTTCGAGTTACTTTTGGTAGTGGTATCAGTGTTTGTGCTTGAGCTCGGGCTTTGGATCCTGTGGTCAGAGATTAAAAAAATATTGAATTATCAGTATTTCAAAATAGGATTCCTGAATTATGATTAATTTAGATACTTATAAGAGAACGGATTAAGGGAACAAACGCTGCTTCCATTTGTGTAACACACTTAACCATTTATTGAATTAGGGAACAAATGGTTGATAAGGTCATATTCTGGGAGCACACTGTCACATGTTTGATATCCGGTTTGAGTTAAGGTTATAGTCATATATCAAACTCAATTTCTGGTCTCCATATTTAGTGATAGTGATTCAGTGTATTCTGTAATGTGTTCTGCTTCTTTATATGGTAGTTTTTAATGTTACTGTCAGAGTACGCCATTCCCATGTAGCATTCGAGTTGTGTGCGTGATGTCAGGCCTTCCTTTATACAGCTGCAGCCAGTAGCAGCTTAGCTTAGCGTAACTTAACTTAGCTTAGGGAAACTGCTAGCCTGGCTCTGTCCAAAAGGTCCTCCTAATAAAAAGAAATCCTCCTACCAGAACCTCTGCAGCCTTGTCATTGCCATGAGGTTGCTAGGCAACAGTCTAAGGTGTGTAAGTTATTCTTCTTCTGGCGATTTTGGCAATTAAAAAGCCGCTTCAGGTGCATTACCACCACCCCGTATCTGAAGTATCTGAACAAGCATTTGATACTTGATGCATTGTGGGACAGCCAAGCTTATTGAACTTTATGTATCTACATATATATTTTTGCGGGGCTTTTATTGCCTTTAAGTGAAAGTGACAACTAAAGAGTGACAGGAAAGGTGGGAGAGAGAGAGGGAGTGACATGCACTGCAAGCGAAAGGGCTCAGAACCTCGGCTGCTGCAGCAAGGACTGCAAGGAACTGCACTTCTCTGACTTTATGACCCACCTGGAACCTCCCTCTCCTCTCCCTCTCTCCTCTCCCGTCTCTCCCTCCTCTCTCTCTCCAGCAGCACTGGTACATGCCTGCAGTCACTCGGTTGATTTCGTGGGTTTAACCCAAAACACAAAGCTCCATTATGGCTCTGCTTCGTCGAAAATACAACTATCTTTCTCTCTTTTCTTTCTCTCCTCCGTCGTCTTCTTCCTCTTCCTCCTCCACCTTCTCTCCTCTTCACAATTCACACTGTCACCCACGATGTTCTGGGATTGAATATAAAGCCACTCTCATTCTGATATTGGGTTGGGAAAGAGAATGGAGAAGAAAGCAAGGAAGGAGGTAGGGAACGGCGTGTGTGTTGATTGTGTGTGTGTGTGTGTGTGTGTGTGTGTGTGGCGTGTCATTATTCAGCCCCAGTATTTGGCGCTTGTCGCCTGTTCTCCCTCCTTGCTCGCCTTTGAGTCTTCTCCTCTGGCACTACCGCCAATGCATTGGGAAGCATTCAGAGAGAGGGCAGAAGAAGTGATGGAGTGCCTGCTTTCGGGAATGTGGGTCAAATGCGTGTGTGTGTCGTGTGTGTAAGACGAATCTTCTTTGGAGATGCTGATGATGAAAAGAGAGTTGGGGGATCTCAGTGCTCTCTCTCTGTCCTCTCTGTCAGTCTGGCAGATTGCGGTTGTGCTGCTTGGTTCATGTTTGGATTCGACCACACACGACACACCACACCACACACCACACAACACACACCACACTCACACACACAACACACACACACCACACCCACAATCATGTCATACTGTGCCAGATGCTGTACTCTCATACCACTCCCCCGGTGGTACATACACATGCAACTCACCTCACCCACCGTACACACTCGAGTCTTTTGTTATTTTGCTTTGCTGCGGAGATAAACCCGCGCTCGTGTTACCTCGTCCTTTTGTCAGGCGTTTTCTCCTCAACCTCCTAACACAACAGCGGACGAACAAAGAGCGCTTATCACCGATACAGTGAGCTGTGTGTGCGTGTGTGTGTGTGTTCAACGAGGGGGGAAGGAATGCGTGTGTCACGTGTGTTGTCAGCTGCGAAGTGTCTTCTCGATGCAAGCTCATTGTCTATTTTTGCGCTTTGCCGGGCGCTTTTCCTACGAGCTGTGTTTTCAGCCTACCGATCTCAGCTGCGAAACTTCACTTCGCTTTTTCCCATTAGGCAGACTCGTTGATAGCTGTTGTGGCGGGCGAGGTGTGGCATGGACCTCCATGAGATCGTGCATGCCGATAGGCGCCAAACTAGGTCCAGCATCGACACACTTCCGCCCTTGCAGGAAGTTGGCCGTAATCACAGGTTTGCCTAACTAGATTCTGGTACGCTGGAAAGTGTTTGAGACGTTTTTAAACATAGATTAATACTAACCTAAATGCGAATTTAATCATACATCCC